TAGAGTACTGAATGGTTGCAGAGAAGGACGAGAGCTCAGTTATATCACGTATCACTAGACCAGTGGTTTTCAACCTGTGGTCCGTGGACTCCTGGGGGTCCACTGACTATGTCTAAGGAGTCTGCAAAAGATGACTATGATCAATCAAAGTATGTGAATACCCACACTTACCATTCAAAAGGGGTATGCACTCCATTTGAAATGTTTTAGGGGTCTGCAAATGAAAAAAGGTTGAAAACCACTGCATTGGACAGAAGGACCCGAGTGCAACAGAACAGAAAGGGAAAAAGAGAGGTTATACTAGGGACAAATTAATGCGATACACACTGAATTCTTGGATGGGAATAGCTTTCATACCAGCAGTCATTTATGTGTGTATTTTACACATTAGCATGTGGAATTAAAAGCAAATGAGTCAACTGGATGTGAGGCTGAGTACTTAATAAAAGAGAGAAAACATACTGGCCGTTCCAAACGGGGAGAAATGCAACTGTTCTCAATTAAAAGTATTTGCTTGGATGTTGTCTGGTATAGCAGGAAAATGTACTGGAGTTAAGGAAACAGGAAACCTCCAGCAGCTAGAGTTACTTGAGAAACGCAGGCCCGCAGTGCTGAAACAATAATATGAAGTCATGGGTCATGCAGTAAATGAGAAGGTTATCAGTCTAGCAAGGAAGGGGCTTTCTCTGGTTCCTTACGTACAAATATATCGAGAGACTTGTTGCTCAGGGTGTGTGGCCAAGAAGAACATTGATTTCTGCAGGAGTTCTAGCGATTGGCGCTCGGTCCAAGGAGTGACTGGAGGGAGACCCATAGTCTAAGCTTTTCCAGAGGCATCCTGGATATGATTGCATTATTGTGAGGCACTGTTTCCAACCAGCCTGTCCACTCCAGACTCATTTGGGAAGGAAGCTGTTTGGTCTCATTTTGGATATCCTGTGAAACTAAACTCATGGCTGCCAAGAACTAGGGGAAAAAAAAAATATATATATATAGATAGATATAGATATAGCTATCTATCTATCTATATATAATATTTATATTTATTTTATATATGTATTTATTTAAATGGATTAACGATTCTGGCTATATTGAATTCAACCAAGGGATATGAAGGGTTGTTTTGGTTGATACGCTTGTTCCCCAAACCCCGTGATTCTAGGACTAGACGCGGATCCAAACCCAGTGCCCAGATCCTGCTCACTCTCAGACTGGAAAATTTGGATGCACAGTTGGATTCAGGCCCAAATGCTGCTTCCTGGCCCAGTTTGAGCATTTTTTTAAAACAGCATTTAATAATAGGATTCTCTGTACTGGAAAGGAAGAGAAATACTCTGCCATTGGCCCAAGACATTACAATCAGTAAAGACTCCCACTGACTTAACCGTCGTTGCACTTTGGGTCAGATCCTTAGACACTCTGGTGATGAGCTCTGTACAAATACTCAGCTAAGGCAGATGGCAGACAGATGCTGTGGTCTCCTAACTAAATGCTCAGTTGTAGATATCTTGGTGCACCTTATATACAACCAATATCTCTTTCCTTTACAGCCCAAAGCACTGCTATACCAATTTAGAAAGAAGATCCATCTAATGATAAAACAGTCTCCCACAAAATACATATCCTTAAATGGACAGACAAATTAAACTCTCCTTTGCTTTCGTCTGATCACCAAATGGTGGCTGTTTGGCGCAGTGGGTGGGAAACTCGGTTTAGATTGCAAGAAGCTGGAATGAGGAGATTTGTGGGTCGTATGCACACAGACAGTCAGAGACTGTTTCTGCAAGATGCATCCTTGTTCCTGAAAGCAGAAAAAAAACAGCCATGAAAAGAAACCCATGTTATAATTAGAAACTTAAGCGAGCAACTTTAAAGCAAAGAAGATGCTTTAAATCAAAATCTTAGCTTCAGCGACTTTGTACTGTAGGGCTTCCTAAAACTCATTAGCAACCATAAATCACTCCTAAGGGGTAATGAATACAAGCCTTGGGCAGGGGGCCCTAGTAGCTGAGATCCAATGTGTTTTTCTTTTAATACTGTCTCAGTTATTGCTGTACACTTATTCCACTGTAATTTGGGTGTAATCAGCCTATAAACTGGTGGGCTTCCTGTGATGCAACCCCCACTATGCACAAAATAGCTACTCAGCGTGCAAGCAAGTGCAGAGCTGGCAGGCAGGATGGTCTGGTGTCTCTCCCCAAGCAAACCAGTGAACTTAGTGAAGAACAGGGCAGCTCCTGGAAGTGGACGTGGTCACTGGGAGACTCTGTAGTGCCCACTACAGGGCTGTGCCTTAATGACGCACTGAGGAGAGCTCTCTAAAACCACTAGGTAATAGTCTGAAGCCATTGCACAGGCAAGGCAGTAAAAGATGCTGTGAATCTGTGAAGCTGCACTAGTCTTGGTCCAGGAGCCACTCACACCGGCAAAGCACACTTTACCTAGATGTGCTTGGAAAATTTTCCACCTAAACACAGCTTCACTGCACGACATCCATTCGCCGACCCAGAATGCCAGTGCCAAATCCAAGGCAGGTTTCCTGGCAGCATGCTCCAGGATTAAGGACCCTTTCCTGAGTGCCCGTCTCCAGGACAGGCCCATCCATCTGCCCCCAAAACAGGGACTGCAGAATTTGAGGCCTCGCAGCTGAAAGGCGACAGGGCATGCTAGGGATCCCAGGCTTCCTGCTGTGGAGCTGGGTGCTGAAAGATCTGCAAGCCTCAGTTCTGGGGATATGGCTTCCAGCTCTATGGCAAGGAGCCGGGAAGCCTTGAGGATACCAACTGCAGGAGGGATTCCCGGGGATTCCAGATTTCTGGCTGCAGTGGCAGGACTTTGGAGCCATTTGGCCAAGTTGCCTCCATCCTACTAATCCTGGGAGTCTTGGCAGCTCTGAACTGGGCTGCTGCAGTATCCAGGAAGCTATTTCCATTAGGAAGTGCTGTGCCTGGGATTTCAAAACAAAAATTTCTCCCCGTTTTTAATTTTTGTGAGGAGCATTTTGATCAATGTTAGTTTGGGTCTGAATTGGCCCCAAACCAAATTAAATAGTAATCATAATAACAATAATAATAAGTCTTGCAAACCGGAAATCCTGCTCATTAGGCAGCTCTAAATTTGTAGTCATGTAAATCATGCTGAATGCCAGTGGCTAAAACCCAAGCATAAACAAGACTCAAAAGAAACGCTCTCTTCCTTTACAGGGTGTCACATCTGGCAGCTCTGACTGTCGCTCTGGGCTCAAATCTGAATTCAGCGTAAGAGTTCAGGATTAAACCCCATACTTCACGGGCACAATGGCATTTCCTTTGTTGAAACAAAGGAAGTTCCTCTTCCCCCTTTCCACTTGCACTTCCCTTTTCATACAAAACATCCTTTGCATAAGTAAGCATCTGCTCTTTAAAGGGCTGCTCAGGTCTAGAGTGGCTGTTGGTGAGTTTGGTTGTCACGGCTTGCATTTAATTGCAGGCAAGGAATAGAAAGCTGTGCTGATATGATCATCAAGCTGTGTGTAGCCATAGGTTGTTTCTTCACTGAAGTCATGCTAAAGGGAGCCTGTTGCTTTTTTTATTATTCATAAGGTTAATGTATTGTCACGTTGTCTTTCCCGGCTGGTTGCACTGAAATACTGAATTCACTGATCACTGGGGGGTTATGCTGACATGCAGCCTCAGGTGCAAGCAGAGAAGCAAAGCACAACAGCCTGCCTTACCAGTCAGCCAAAGCATGAGATAGCAAATGCTCCTCTCTCCGAGTGTGCTGCGAGGGATGACAGCAGAAAGAGCGCACAGAGTCTGCAGCGGGACTTAGCTACTTCTGTTTCCGCAGAATCAGACGTCAACTTGGTCGCAAGCAGATAAACAACTTACAGCTTGTAAATCTGGCCGTACCTCGAATATGGCAGTGTACAAATGAAATGTCGTTTTCTCACTCCCCAGATCTGCTACCACTAGCGATAAAGAAACAGCCTATCGCTGCTCTTTATTCGGTTACTCCTGCAAAGCCAATGCAGCAGCAGACTGGAGCCTATATCACTTGTTCAGCAGCATCCAGGGAATTGTTTAGCAAGTCCCAATGGGTTTTGCCTGTGGAGCAGCAGCAAAGGCAGTGGGTCACCGAGGACACAATCCTGCTTGCAGAATATACTGATATGCAAACGTCGCTACCGCAGTTGCCCATTTCAGTGACGTACTTACGCAGGTAGCAAAGCTATTTTTGCTAGCAGTGACCCCCGTTTACTTGTCTGATTATAACAGCATGTCCAAATTATACACGCTGTTGTTATCCGAAATTTATTTCAAGACTTGTCATTAACTTTCAACAGTGATTTCCCCCTCATTTTGTTACTTTTCTGTTGTTGGCTTATATCCTCCCTATAACAACATCCTGCTACTCCAGTAACTTTTCTGCGGATTGATAATTGCCATGATTGTTGAGAAGGGAAGGGTGGTGCTGCTGGGGGCCAGGACTTTAGAGAGAGCCTTGTATGTCAGCCTAGTCCAGCTGACAGTTGAATCATCTGCCAACCAGATGGCTCTGGGCTCAAAACCCAAAGTAAAAACCACATAAAAGATCCTCACAGACAGGCTAGATGCCTGACATCCTTTCAGTTACATTTTTAAATGTAAAGGCTCTCTTGATATCATTGTAACACCAAATTAATGTCAGCCCTTAGTTGCATTGTTAAAATTCTCTTTACACTAAAGGCATTTGCTGTATATCCTCTTGTGAAGCTGTTGATACGATTATCCAATTTTTCTGTGGTTATTTTGAATAAGATGTCTCTCCATAGCTTCAGCTTAGTCCCTGACAAAGTCAGAACACCCCACTTGAACAGCCATAATATAAATCAAGGGCCACAGCTGACTGGTATTGGTGTCAATTCTGCATGGGAACTAAAGGCCATGTGTAGCTCATGCAGTGCATCCCACCTGGAATCACTTTAGGATTTAATAGCATCTTCTTGCCATTCTTTATTTAGGCTTTTGTTTTGGGATGCTGGCTTGAGAGGAAGGGCTTTAATCTGTAGGCTGCAAGGAACTGTTGTTTTTGTGAGTTGACATTTCTACTGAATGTATTTTTAATATAACTATATTCAGAACTTTTTTGCATTTGGCTGCTGGATCCTGGAAACTAAATGTTGGTGGAATCATTACCACTGTTGTTCTACAACAACACTGGTCCAGGTTAGCTAGAACTGGAAATCTATGAAGTACTTTGGCAATTATAGCTATCACTTAAGAGGTGTAAAGGAAGCATTGAATGTATTTTTAATTTATTTTAATGCACATGTAGCAACCAGGAAGCTAGCCAGCACTATCTGACTAGCCTGCTTTCTATATCAGATCTGGTATCAAGAACTGATATTATCAAGAGAATACAATGGCTCCAAATGTGTTCAAGGCAGGCCAGGTAAAATTAATACCTTTTTATTTTACTATGGTAGCGCCTAGGAGCTCTAGTCATGGTTCAGGGGGCCATTGGGCAAGGAACTGTATAAACAAAGAGTCAAAAACAACCCTTGCCCTCAAACAGCTTACAGGCCAAATCAAAATATTCCTTACTTACCACACAAAGCGGTAAGGAGGAAGAAAATGAGCAAAGGAAACTAAGACAACTGTTAGTCATTGCTTTTACTGCTGAAGCCTGTTCACAGCCTCGTCATGCAACAGTGAAGTCAGTGCATAAGGATTTTCCTTTAGGCTTTGGTAAGAGTGGATTGTGTCCTTCTACCACCATAGTAGCTAGTAAGAGGAGGCTAGAAGATGGGAAGCATCCATAAATATCCTTACTCTTATCTTTACTCACTTATAAAGCATTTTTTGCTTTGTAAAAGGCCATGTCAATTTGTGACGAGATGCATTTCCAACCCCAAAATTGCTTGCTATCAAAGTAAAGCCAGATGAACTATAGGACACCACTTTGGGTAGAGAAACATTTGGAGAGATTACTAGAGAGGTAAATCAATGCAGATAGGAGTCACTTAAGATGAGAGTCTTCTGCGGGTCTTTGAAGGTGCAAGAGAGAGGGAATTTAGTAGACAAGAGGCATTTCTATATCCAGACACAGCACAGCAGGAAGCTGAGAAAGATAGGAGACAAAGGCAGCCCAAAGAAAAGAAGGTTTTGTCAGGTAAAGAGAGGAAGTAATAGCAGAGACACTGACCGCGTGAGATTGATTCAAGGCCCTGAAGGTGCTGTCAGGAAGTGAGTCAAGGGAACCGAAGACCAGGTCAGCATGGTCAGATGATGCATGAAGATGACATCAATGGTGGCACATTGGAGAGACTGCTGAGAAGGAGCAGAGGAGAAAAGTACAGGAACCCACACGAGGGAAGACCCAGGGTTTGGAGGTTTTAGCGTCATCATCGGAGTTTGGTCCCCACGTATATTTTTAGTTTGTTAATAAAATGTACACACCCCAGAGATTTAAACAGAACAACCAACCCTAAATCCAAAACTGCCAATGTGCGGACTAACAAAGGAACCAGGTATACATAGCTGGAGTTACTTTGAGATAACAGATGTGGCTGGAGCTGATGTAAAGAATATTTTTGAGTCAAATGAGGCCACAGCATTTATTTCCAAAGAAATTGCTACATGACTTTGTTTCGACATTCTGCCCCACAGCTGCCAGCATTGCATCCACAGTCATGTGCTAATAGAAATTTGAAATACAGTAACTCAGTTTCACGTGTATGCTTGTAGAAATATGGGTGCAGAACTAACACGGGCATTTCGACACTTTTGCATCCGTTTTGGGGTGAATCGCTGCTCACTTCCACAGAAAGAGCCTGGCATTTGGGACAAGGTACTCTGAAGATGATTTGAAAAGTTCAAAGGGATGAATCTCGGAGTTCAATGTGTAGCCCTTGATTTGTGTCTTACGTACACCAAAAATATCCCAAAATACTTGGATCGCTTGCATGCCTCCACACTGAAGTTGCACATTATGTTCTTTCTGTACTTGTAATTACAGAGCAAGACATTGTAATGGGCAGCAGAGTGTATAATACATCTTCATTCTCTCGGGGAGCCTTAATGCTCTGCAGCAGGCTTACCAACTATACTTTGCCATCCTACTCCAAGGTGGGTGGATTCTTCTCCACAATCTCCCTACCCCTGTGCATGGGCCAGTCTAAAGATTTTTTTTTTACTTTACTACACTTAAAAGAGGGGTGGGCAATTATTTGGGCTGGAGGGCCACTTAGGGAGGTTTGATGAGCTGTTATAAGCTAGGTCAGCAAACCCCCTACACCCCTGCAACACCTCACCATAACGTCCTCAGTGGCCCAGGGGTGGTGGATGTAGTGGATGGGCTGGGCCTCCATGTAGACTGGCTGAGACCCCTGCGGGCAGGGCATGCTGAGCTGGACACATGGGAATGGGGCTGCGGGTGGGTGTGGAACAGTGTTCAGAAGTGGGATGCGTGGCTGGGACTGGGGCCAGGATCGTGGGTTGGTGACAGTGTGGGGCCAGGGCCCACGGCAGAGCTGCAATCCACTCCCCACACAGCCCTATGCTCACCACCCTGCGATCCTGGCTCTGGCCCCACCTGCCCACCCACTCCATCTGATGCTCCTGATGGTTGGTGTGGGGCAGACGGGCCAGGGTGCCCGGGCAGCGCAGCGGGGTCTGGCAGCAGCAATGACACTAGCAGTAGGAGCCTGAAGGCGCCACTGCCACCAGGGCTATTGGGAACCAGAGTTTGGCCACTGCACTGCCCCAGCCCTGCTGCACATCTGGAGGTGGCGGGACCAGCCACACATCCTTCTGGGCCAGAAGAAGCCAGATAAACTCCCTTGGGTGGTCGGATCCAGCCTGCAGGCTGTATTTTGCTCACCCCTGACTTAGAATATCTTCCCTTCAGTTTAATAGATTCATCTATGGAAGGCTTGTTAAGTCCTTCCCGATCTCTTGCTGCAGAAGTGAAGCTCAAATAATTATTCCCTCACATTAACTGCATTGGTTCATATTTTAACAGCTGTTGTCACAGGGGAAAAAAAAGTCTTAAAAAGTCATTAAAAAAAAGATGAACCTTAAATTCTCCTTGCTGTTAATTATTTATCATCAGGAAGCAGAAAGGCCCAATGTGGTGGGTTTTGCAACATGTCCTTTTCTGCCTACTGTAATTTTCTTTTTACTCCCCACTATAATATAAATATAATAGGGGTAAGAAATGTAAGGGCTGAAAGCTTACCCACAGGGAAGTAATGGGACTCTGAAGTTATATGTCAAGGTCTTGTGGTCTGGTTATTAAAATCTCTTTCAAATTTACTGTACAATGTTCCCAGGGGAGGCAGCCTGGGGGTTCCTCTGAGAAATAACCCCAGCTATTGACCCTGCTGCTCCTAAAGTAATGGATTTCTACTGCCCTTAGCTGGGGAAAATGCACTACTCAGAATAGCTGGGTTTCACTGAGGGCTAGGAGGAATGAATGTGTTTTTTGGTCCTAGCACAAGTGTGGGGATGCTTGTGAACCTGCCAGATGTGCTGTAGGTAGGAATGCTGCTCTGTGGGGCAGACTTAAGCATTATTGTATGTTGATGTGGGTGCAATGCTGGGCAGAGAGGCCTGAGCTAGTGAAAGCTGTGTTCTCACCTTGGCACAGGACTCGTCTGGGCCACTACACCCACATCTCTGGGGCTGCACTGGCCCTGGTAGCTGAGCCAGGCCAGTCAAAGCTAATTTGGAAAAACAGTAGCTATCGCCTGTATTCAATATCAGAAACTTAACAGCTCTTCATCAGAAAAAAAGCGTTTTGACAAAAAAACAAACCAAAAAACCCCAACCAGTTTTGTTCATGAACTCGTATAGATTTTGACAAAACTTCCAAATAGTTCCAAATGAAAAAGTTCATTTGGGAAAATTTTAATTTCAGAAATGTACAGTGTTTTGTTTTGCAATTTCATATTTTAAGTGGAAGTGTATTAACTTTTTCTTATGGAAGGTGAAACCGGACCCGCAGGAAAGTAATGGGACTCTGAAGTTATATGTCAAGGTTTTGTGGTCGTTTATTAAAATCTCCTCCAAATTTATGGAGAAGATTCCAATTTAAAATTCCAATTTAAAAATTGGAATTTTACTTTTTCATTTGGTATTTTACTTTTTGTTACTTTACTTTTCGTTTGGTATTTACTTGTCGTTGTTTATATCTTGCATTATTGCAGAATGCATCAGTCCTAATGCATGTTATTAAATAGACTATTGGAATTAGTTAACACCCAAGTATGACACGCCAGTACTAGTTGTGGAGCGTACTATCTGCGACTAATGATGGATATGTCATCAAAATTGTATTTATTGTTAAAATAGTCTGTATTTAGTTTTTAACTCCTTACGGACCGCAGTTACTTCCACTGACTGAGAGACACTTTATCTTTTCTTGATCTAATTGTCTCCTGCTTGTGCCATAATAAACCAGTTAATACCCACACTTCATCAGTCAGACTGCTTCATCACAACAGAAGCAGGGAACATTGTTTGTGGACGGCCTGGCTTCCCAGCCTCCTCTTCTCGGGCTTGCCTTCGCTGTGCCGCTAGCGGATGGTAAAACTGTCCAGGGCTGGATCCGGGTGGGGGTGCAATGTTGCGGGGCAGTCAGGGGGTGCATTGTCCCCCCTACTTTGCTTCCTACTCCACCCAAAATTAAAACCAGCCTTCTGGGAGGGGGCAGCGAGTCGAGTCAAGCCTGCCGAGGGCAGTCAGTTGACTTCGTGGCTCATTCTCATCCACTTGATGCCTTCTAAAGGCTTCATTCTGCGGGGGGTTAATACCCCTTTCTTCTTTTTAAGGGTCTGGATGCTCCACCAAGCCGCCGACCCTCTGTGCGGCCTGGTCAGGGACCCCCTATTTCACAGCCCCGCAGCCCTGTTTCATGGACGCTACCTTTGGTTTTGCTTCCATCGTGGGGGGAATCGCAGACCCCTGCCGGGGGGCTCAACTTCTAGTTCCTTGGGAGAGCAAGCGGGGTGCTGTTTCACGCGCACCTTGCCATCCGCACCCCTTCCTCGCCACGCGTGACGCCGCTCTGCCTCGCTCCAGTTGGGTCCCGAGCGGTCGGGGGTGCTGGATGCAATGGG